CTGTGATTCTGTGATTCTGTGAATAAGGAAGTTGAGCTCCAGTGTAGCTTTGAAAAGTCTTACTGGTTGGGCAGGTGTCAGTTATAGTTTCTGAAGTTGTTAGTGACAAAATTTGACTATAAATAGGATTTATAAGGTGCAGTGAGTCTTCCCTATCAATGTGCTGTCACTGGGGCTGTCAGATGTTATGAGACCGTCCATCAGAGTCCTCCTGTCACTCCAAGGGAGAGGTACAGAACATAAAAGCCAAACTCTTTGGAAGATACAATATCTCTATTGCTTTGAATTTCCCTGTGCAGGTGCTGAGCTCTTGTATTAAAATGACCAGGCTCAGTCTCTGCCAGCTGTAATTAAATGCAAAGTTAAATGCAGCTCAGTGCGCACGTTTCAGACAGATATGTCTTTAAAGGCTTTTATGAGCAGTAAAGGACTAAAAGAAAGCCAGGAAGGACTGCGAGATGAAACTCAGCGTTTTCTTGCCCAGTCAAACAAGAGGTATTACCCTTTCAAGATCTGAGGGAACAGCATTTAGTAACAGCTACATAAAAGCGTATGTTGTCTGCAAGGTATAGATATGTGCCTAACATTTTCAAAGTGCTCCACAAATTGTCCTTTTTTTCTGCTGGACTGTGACTGTAATTCATGTAAAACATGTCCTAATGAAAATACCTTTCCCCAAGAAATGCAAAGGCTGTTTTATTCTGAAATTGTGAGCTGCCTTGTAGAAAGAAGAATTACATTTTATTGCACATATTCTTCTGTGCGCTTTGAATTCTTCCATATTTTATGTATTTACTTCAGCTAGTGACAGCTAAAAATAAAACTAGATTTAATTTAAGGGTTCTAACGGATGAGCTCTAGTGGGTTTTTCTGGTAGCAGCTCTAAATGTTATTTCTCCTAGCTGTGCCTCTTTTCCCTCTGCCCAAGGCTACAGCACTGCCTGGGTACAATAACAGACCAGGACACAGCCATGGATTGGGGTCTGAGCTTGTGGTGCTGCCAGGAGCCATGGCTTTGGGCTGGGCTTTGGGCTGGAGGATGGAGGTGGCTCAGAGAGGGCTACCTTCTCCTCTGCTGCTGGAGCAGCAGCCCCTTGCAGGTCTAGGGTACCGATGGGTACGGCTGCCCCTTCACTTTGCTGAAAAAACCATGGCCAAATTTTTTGGCATTGACCTCTTGGAGCCCCTCAACTCAGATGCATGATTTAAATGTGATGGCTGTTGTACATAGATCTCTGGGTCCTTTCTCTTCCTTTTTTTAAAGTGTTAATAATGCTATTAGATGGTTGAAAGCTGCAAGTTTAGATTTTTATTTACTTTGATTGCAATGGAGAGCATGAAAAGGTATAGGTAAGGCAGGTCAATGTAGTCCGTTTGGTGTTAGTTTCGGTCTACTGAAATTACGAGGCAGGGATTCCTCCATCAGGGCACAACAGTACATGCTAAGGGTGAAGTTTTAGTGTTAACTCTGAAGTCCTTCATGCAGAGCAAGGCAGAACAGCTTTTGTGCTGGTTTTGTTGGTGCTCCTGTTTTCTGCCAAATGTCATTGCACTGTCAATTTTTATCTTAACTTTGTAGTGCAAGAAATGACTGAAGATTACTGATTTTTGTATCAGTGGGCCACATAACACAATTCTTGGTTACAGGGAAGGAAAGTTTAAATCTGTTTTTAATTTACAACTGAATTTTGAATGATACAGGTTGTAAGTCTGAAACTCTGACCTAACTGAAGTTGGTGGAAAATCTCCTAAGTTCATTCTAAGACTTGAGAACTAGTACAAACATCTTTTTCAACTGTCTTAATGAACAAATTTCATTATTCTGGATTTCGAGGGTTTTTTAAAAAAAAAAAAATTTAATATTGTGAGATACAAGCTTTCTTCAGAGATTTGGATGTGTTCTTTTTATAGCTTATTATTTTATAGTTTTAAGTGATGCTGGACTTGATACTGAAAGCACATGCAAAGGTCTTGTTCTGGAGAACAAACAGTGTAAAGATCTAAGGAAGGCAATTGTAGGAGACTAGGAGAACAAAAACCCTGGACAGGGTGTTCACTGTTAGAGAGATGTCACTTTTGTGGGAAAAGGCCTCAAGTTGCTCCAGAGGAAGTTTAGATTGGGTATTATGAAAAAATTATTCAGCAAAAAGGTTATCAAGCCCTGGAACAGGCTGCCCAGGTTGAGTCACCATCCTGGAGGTATTTAAAAGATGTGTAGATGTGGCACTTAGGGACGTGGTTTAGTGGTGGAGTTGGCAGTGTTAGGTTAATGGTTGAACTCAATGATCTTAAGGGTCTTTTCCAACCTAAATATAGGTTTGTAGATTGAGCAGTCAAAGAGGGTTTGCAGGAGAGTGTGGAAGGATGAGAGAGGAAGCCTGGTAGGGTTGGATATGTAGGTTGCTCCAAGGTTGGTTTGCTGTGAGCTCTGAATTTAGTTTGGAAAGGACTTAATTTCTATAACCAGAAACAATTAAACACATGAAAATACCATTCTGATTTTGTTGTTGTTGTTTTGCAGGTGAATAGCTTTGACATAAGCAACGTGTCTCACAACCATGCTCGAGCTGTGCTTTCCCAGCCTTGCTCAGTGCTGCACCTCACAGTGCTGAGAGAGAGACGTTTCGGCAGCCGCACACACAACCACGTGGACGCCAGCAACTCCCTGCGGGAAGACAGCTTTCAAGTGACGCTACACAAACGCGACTCCAGCGAGCAGCTTGGCATCAAACTCGTACGCAGAACAGATGAGCCAGGAGTTTTCATTCTCGACCTTTTGGAAGGGGGGTTGGCTGCTCAGGACGGCCGGCTCTGCAGCAATGACCGTGTGCTTGCCATCAATGGACATGACTTGAAGCATGGGACACCCGAGCTCGCTGCTCAGGTTATTCAGGTAATTTTCATTCCCAACCTGAGTCCTTAGCTCACCTTTATTTCTCGGGTGAAGCCTGGGCTAAATCCTGTCACATACAAAACAGCTTGTGTAACCCAAAAGCCTACAGCAATGCAATTTGCTGTGATTTATGTTCTGGAAATAATACTGCAAAACAGGGTCTGCTTTGGCACCAGGTGAACTTCACCTCCTCAGAAGTAAGAAGTGCATCAGTCTTCCCTGGCATACAGCCTGAAGGTCAGAAGACTGCTCATGTGAGCAGAAAGAGAACCACGTAGCCTATCGTTTAGCAGGCAAATAAAAAAGGATTATTCTTATATTTATGTATGTACTGTAGTTTTAACCTCTCAGTAAGCTTTATAAAAGTGGACTTTGTTATGTACTGATTTGCCTATGTATGGAGTTGGGGTTAAAACAGGAAAGTGGTTTGTCAGACTTTGTGGAGGCAACAGGTAGCAGGTGGGAAGAAAAAGTAGATCTTCCATGGATCCTGTGCAGTAAAATTCATTTTCTGAGTGTTTAAGGAAGGGCTGTTCCCAATGTCTGACTCTGCTCTGGACACATGTATTACCCAAAGCTTGATGTAGTCTTGACATATGACCCTTCCCTCTTCCCACAGGAAAACCTTTACTCCATGCCTTTCTCCCAGTCTGTAAGGAAACAGCTGCACCACATTGCTGCTTCCTGC